TTCAGAAGTGGATGCCGCTCTGTTTCCAGGCTTGTTTTAATCGGGAAGCTCCACCAAACACTGTCCACCATGGGTAATCATTATCACATTTGGCACATCAGTGTCACAGTGTTTAGCATCTCAGCAACCACGAGTTACCTCTGTACAGCAATGCACAGACCAGTGCTGTAACACCTGGAAGAATGTTTGACAGAAAAACAATTTGAACCAGGCCCTAGGGCCGCAGTTATGGACAATCAAAACCCAGTTTAACTTCAGAATATTTCCATCACCTCAAAAAGAAATCTCAGACATGTTGATTATCATTCCCTGTCTTCTCATTATCCCCCAGCCCTGTGAAACTACAAATTTACTTTATGTCACAATAGATTGGTCTGAAAAAAAAAACAACAAAAACAATAGATTGGTCTGCACCGGATATTTAAGTAAACGGAATCATATAATATGTAGATTTGTTGTTGTTGTTGTTATTGTTGTTGTTGTTTTGTGTACCATCGAGTCAGAACTGACCCATAGCAGATCCTCTGATAGGTTTTCAAAGGCACAAGAATTGCACAAGAGGAGATTGCCCATATTTCTCTGGTGGAGCGACTGGTGGATTCGAACCACATGCCTTTGAGGTTGCAGCGCAGTGTTGGTAGTAAGAAGTAATTTAAGGGTTTTAGGAAAGAGAGTGTGATCTCACCTCCACGAACTGTATCAGAGGGCTAAGAGAAATATACAAAACATGGTAAGTCAAGAATAACTTTGCAGAACATTTAAAAATATGCATTCAGTGTGTGTGTGTGTGTGTGTGTGTGTGTGAACACATATGGAGTTGTTATTTTTCATTTTTGTTGTTGAGAATATACACAATAGAACATACACCAATTGAACACTTTCTACGTGCACAATCCAATAACAGTGATCATACGCTTCACGTCGTACAACCACTCTCACCTTTCTTTTGTGAATTATTCTTTTCCCATTTGCATAAAATCAATGCTCCTAAGTATGCTGATGCTTTTTAGGGCCAGTCACCTGTCGCTGAAGGAACAATCACATGAACAACTTGATTGGAAAAACTGGCAGAAAATCCATCCTTTAACCTGCCCCTTTTCATTTCCTAGTGTCGCCATCACAGAAAGACCACAAATGAATGACTTTAAAGAGGAGAAATGTCTACAGGTTCAATATCCTAATCAGAGTTGTTCATACATGTCAATTCCTTCTGTGAGTCTCTCTCCCAATTTCCTGTTACTGGCAGGAATCATTGACAATTCTTGACAATCCTTGAAATGTCTTCATTTTCCTTAGAGTTGTTTTGACAGTCCATTAGATTCCCTAGTCTCTTTCTCTCCTCCCGAAACCCTGTGTGCCTGCTTTCCACACACTTTTTGTTCTTTTATTAAATTTTATTAATTTTATGAACATTTACAGAGATTTTGGGTTTCCATTCATTCATCTTTGCACTATTTTCTTTACTAATCGCCCCCCAGTTCGTGCCTCTTTTGTTTCTCCTTGAACATCTGTTTTAATTGTCCCGTTGCCACAGTGCTTGTCAAAGCCAGTTTTGATTAATCTCCCTTGTCAGTGTGTCCTTTGTCATTCCCTATCACTCCTCCCTGAGAGAGACTTCACCCTGATTCATAAGGAAAAGGGGACAGCGTATTCTCTTAGCTACTTCCTGTTGAAAAGGGACACTGTAAGTTTCAGGGTGCCTTCCAGACACTTTTATAGCTCAAATCTACACTGATCAGGAATTGCCTAGTTAACATAAATAAGAAAGCCTTATTCCCACACAGAATTATGTCCACAAGTGTTTGCATCTTACATGTATTTTGTGGGAGACAGTTCAATCAATTAGCATCACCCTTCTCTATCTAATCCTGTATTTACTCCTCAGCTCTGAGTAGAACATCAATGTCTCAAACCATAAAGGGCCACCGTCTCAGAATTCCAGTCTATGTAGAGCAAATACACCGAAGACACTGGACTTAAAAGTCACATATTCTTGGAATTCTAAATTAACAACCATAGCAATTTCTATGGAAGAATAAATAGCCTGTGAAAAGATATGCCAGGATAGATGGCAACATTCCCCCCACAAACCCCAAAAAATAAGCTTATGAGGGTTGAGAGGCCAATTCCAAGGCCACCTGCTCCTTGGTTCCTTTCCTCCAGTGGGTGGGGGTGGGGTGGGAAGAACCCACACACTTTGTTAGAAGTTAATGATGTACAACACTATTTATGACTTACTCGCTGGAACTATTTTTCATTTATTATTCCTACTCATCAGAAGAAATTTAATATTATGACCATATTTAAAAAATAATGAGTTTAGTGCCCTAAATAAGTCTCTTCTCTTTCTTCCATGCTTACAACTCAGTTGAGAAGATATCCTTCAAAAAGATTATTACCTAACTTGGACGGGCCTGGAGAACATTATCTAAGTGAACTAACTCAGTCCCATAAGGATAAATACTGTACAAGACCATTATTGTAGAATGTGTATGAGGATCCAAGGGTGGAAGGGAGTGACAGTAGAGGGAGGGGTGAAGATAGGTGGGAGACAATGGGGTGGTTAATCATAGGGTAACACAATTTGATGGCTAGAGAGAGTGGTGAGTAAATGAAATGGGAAAGATCTTGTGTGAAAAACAATGTCTACAAATTTTGTAAGTAAGCCAGTATAAAATAGAAATTTTATTTTTTTTTTAAAAAAAAACAAAACCACAACAAAATAAAATTTTAAAAGTGAAATGGGATGGATAGGGAGTAAAATGCACAACAATGAATGAACAGAAATCCAACTTCAGTGTAAACTTTCGTTAAATTCACCATAAAAAAATTTAAAATTTCCCTCCCTTTATTTATCTAGTCCTTTTCCAACAATGATTGTTGGGTTGTTGTTGTGTGTGTTTTAGAAAAAAACAAACCAACCAAACAACCACCAGTGTCCTTCTACATCTCTGGCTACTTAGAAGAAGTGAGGAAAATGGACTTCTCATCTGCTGACAGACCA